ATCTTTGTTAGCATGGCAATCAAAAACTCACACCACATATACTTTTGGGGATCAACAGACATCTAAAAACAGTAGCAGCTTCTTTTTCCAATGGAGAAATATAAATTTTGCCCCTTCATGTATGATTTATCTTCACTTGGGAAATCATCAGGAAATCAAAAAAAGGAGAAATGTTCATTTCTAGACTATGAATCATATGAGAAAATTGCAGTAACTCTATATCTTTTCACACTGGCCTGCTTGAAAGGCTATTTCATTTTTTATCCTTATTTCACATTTAACTAACATGATTAAAATAACATAATCACATGATTGTTATTGAGGAAAAAAAGACAGACTAAAGTTATTGTCTGAGATAAATATTGAGGTCAAAATGTCTTTTATTTCTGTTCTTCTATTAAGTATGGCAAAAAAAAAAATCCTCAAAATAACCATACTTAATGTCCCATTTGGGAATAGTTCACTTCCCCGTTGACTTTCGGAGTGTCCCACAAGCCACTGTTTCTGTTTATTTTGGTTAAGTTATCCAAATCTTCACCCAGTATTCTGATGAGTTTTAAGAGTGTACTTCCAGTATCAATTTATTTACATCACTATCAAATGTATGGGGTTAATGATGTTGATACAACTAACTGTCCATCCAGAGAAAAATTAATTAGATACATCACTTCTTACACCAAAATAAATACCAGCAGAATCGGAGACTTAAATAGAAAAATTAATGCACAAAAGTACAACAAATATATAGGAACTTCTACTTCGTATAGTAGTAACTTAGGTAATTCAACGGACTATCCTGCTAAGAACAGCAAGGCAAAATATCTTTATACACACACCTACCACAGAGGACCCAACTATTCCACTCCTAGATATTTTCCCAAGAGAAATAAAAGCATCTGTTCACACAACGATTTTAACATAAATGTTCATAGTTTTATTTATAAAAGCCCCAAACTGGAAACAATCTAAGAGCCTGTCAGCCTGTGAATATATTAAAAAAAAATTGTGAGTACATACACAAAATAGAGTGCTTCTCAGCTTTAAAGGGACTGAACATACAACACAGATGAGTCTTAAGTTAAAAAAAATCCAGACAAAAAAGAAGAAATACTTTTATTTCTTTAAAATTGTATTTTTTAAAATATATTTTATTGATTTTTTACAGAGAGGAAGGGAGAGGGATAGAGAATTAGAAACATTGATGAGAGAGAAACATCGATCAGCTGCCTCCTGCACATCCCCTACTGGGAATATGCCTGCAACCCAGGTACATGCTCTTGGCCGGAATCGAACCTGGGATCCTTCAGTTCCAGGTCCCAGAGCCGATGCTCTATCCACTGAGTCAAACTGGTTAGGGCTAGAATTGTATTTTTTAATGAGCACTTTGTTAGGCATAAATAGAACAACCAAAACATTCATTTATTTTTTTCTACTTATGGAATAAACATTAGGGTTCCCATGTTTTCAAAGCCATCTGACAGTCAAAGAATTCCTTAATAATGTTTATGGAAGAGAAGTGAAAAATAGTGACTGAAGGACTCTCAAACACTCTCAATAAAACAACAAAGTTTTCATTTATGCAAGTCAGTTCATTAAACCTATCTTCATCTTACAACTAAAGTGTTACTGTTTTTCAACATTCTATGCATTCGATCAGTTTTTAAAAGGTTGCGCACTTTTTATTTAATTTATAATTTAATTCCTACCCCCTACAACCCATGGGGGGGTGGGAATAAGTGTAAAACTCTGCTAATATAAAATGCTCTTGAAAAAATCCTGTCAGTCATATGGGCAGTGAGAGTGACTTGCCCATTTTTATAGCTATCACAACAGCAGCCTATGGTTTGAACTCATGAAAACGAGAGCTCCATGCTTTACACTTGCCTGGAATGCCTCATGCGTTGAGACAATGGTGATCTGTTGCTGCCACCAGCAGGTCATGCTCACAAAATGATATTTTCCCCTTTGTTTCTGTCTTGTTTTATTTCCAACTCATCTACAGATATTTCTTGCCCACCAAATCCTTAGATGAAATAACAAATCTCTCTCATAGGTATTCTCAGTAACAATGACTCCTAAAAATATATACTATACAAAAACCTCTTCTTTCTTTTAGAAATACATCTGATCTTTTTCCTTGTCTTCTATTCCTTCTTTCATTTTCCTTCATAATCCCCATACTTTTTTAAGATCATTTTTCTGGTAAATGTATTCCTTTGTTGAGTCTGTCCTTCACAAACAAAAACAGCATGTCTACAAACTGCTTTCGATCCAATATATTAATTTGGGACCAGCTCAGAGAAACAGTACCATCTGTTGATTATACACATTGTTTACTGCAAGTCACGAATTTCCTAAGAATCCCAAAACACCAATCGGAAAGAATATGTGCACCCCAATTTTCACAGCAGTGTTATTTACAATAGCTAAGATCCAGAAACAGCCCATGTGCCATGACTAGATGAGTGGATAAAAAAGCTGTGGTAGCTCTAGCCGATTGACTCAGTGGTTAGAGCGTCGGCCGTGGACTGAAGGGTCGAGGTTTGATTCCAGTCAAGGGCATGTACCGCAGTTGCAGGCTTATCCCAGCACTGCTCAGGATGCATGCAGGAAGCAACCATTTTATGTGTTTCTTTCACAGCGATGTTTCTTTCTCTGTCTCTCCCCATCCCCTCCCACTCTCCAAAAAATCAATGGAAAAAATATCCTAGGGTTAGGATTAAAAAAAAAAAAATAGAAGAGCTATGGCACGGTTACACAATGGTACATTTACACAGTGGCTGTAAAAAAAAAAAAAAAAAAGGAACACTTACCATTTGTGAAAGCATGGATGGACCTGGAGATTATTATACTAAACTATAGTTTAAATTTATCGTTATTCAATTATCTGACACATCTATGTCTAATGTTCCTAATCAGATTAGATTTTCCAAAAACAGGTATTTTACCATTTTTAATATTCCTTATGAAAATTTCTTAGTGGGTACTTGATAAAAGTGCATTAATTATGGAATTACTAATAAACAATTATATGATAGATGTCTTTAATGTTTTAACATTTAAGAATATATGCCCTAGCTGGTTTGGCTCAGTGGATAGAGCATCAGCCTTCGGACTGAAGGGTCTTGGGTTTGATTCTGGTCAAAGGCACATGCCTGGGTTGCAGGCTCGATCCCCAGCAGGGGGCGTGCAGGAGGCAGCCGATCAATGATTCTCTCTCATCATTGATGTTTCTATCTCTCCCTCTCCCTTCCTCTCTGAAATCAATAAAAATATATTTTTAAGAAAGAATATATATAAAAAATCAAACAACAGTCCTGTATCAAAACTCTGATACACTTTGCAACAAATTTATTATTGTAATGTAAGTAATTCTCTCCAGAGACATAGAAGCAAGGAACAGACTGTGGAATCTCAGAGGGAAGGCGAGATGGTTCGATAGGTGGGAAGAGATCAACCCAAGAACTTGTATGCATATATGCATTCCCCATGGACACAGGCAATAGGATGGTGAAGGCCGGGGATGGGGATGGGGACAGGCTAGAAGGGGTCAAGGGGGGGAAAAAGGGACATATGTAACACTTTCAACAATAAAGATTTAATTAAATAAATAAGTAATTCTAATCATTTTCAAAACTTACATTTAATTACTGTTATTTTTTAAAGGGGGGGCAAGGGAACGTCATGAAGTAACCTTTCATTACAGAGCAGCAGTATTTTGATTGGTTATATTCTGAAAAAAGAATGACACATTTTCTCTTATCCTGTCAAGAAAGGGATCTTTAAGATTTAACTGATCTCCAGAAAAATGTTTCCATTGCTTCAGCTGTGACATGGAGAGAGGTTTCAGGGAGTCAGACTTCTTGTGATGTGGGCCAAGTTGACAATTTCTAGAGACAGGGAATTTTTCCAATGAATCACCTGCAATAAGTAAAAGAATGAGAAAAATCCTTAAGCCAATCAATATTCTACTATATACAATACTTTTTATATTATGATATAATGGGTTTATGCAATTTATTACATTTTGTCCTCTGATCGCAAGGACCTTCTGGTCTAATAGGATTCATACATTAAACAAATAATCATCCAGAGGTATGTTACAGGGCTGCAATCCCTTATCTAACACCTTTGGGACTAGCTATATTTCCAAATTCAGAATATAATTGGAACCATCTGGGACAACACTCTATAATCAAGCCCATTATACAGAATATTTAGAACTAAATAATAAAAAAACCTGCATTTCAAAATTATGAGATCCAGCCTTGGGGAACATTTACAGCCTTAAATACCCATTTTATAAAAGAAGACTGAAATCCATTAAGCTAGGCATTCAACTGGAAAAATAAGAAAAAGAACAGAGTAAAGACAATGAAAAAGGAAGAGAAGATAAAAGCAAAAATTATTTGTTTGTTTTTTTAAAAAACATACGGTAGAGGACCCAATATTAATTTATATAAAATATAAAGTTTCCATGTCAGTCTTGTACAGTCTAACTTCTTAACCTACTCAGTATAATTTATCAAGTGACTTCAAACTCTTGACGCTCAAGTCCCACTTGTGATCCAGTTCCTATGTGAATGGTGTTACTTACAGAGGACTGATGTTTGTATTTATTTATTTACTTACTTACTTATTTATTTTAATCCTCAACCGGGCATATTTTTCCATTGATTTTTACAGAGAGTGGAAGAGAGAGGGAAAGACAGAAATATCGATGTGAGAGAAACACATCGACTGGTTGCCTCCTTCACGAACCCCGACCAGGGCCCCGGCCAGGGAGGAGCCTGCAACTGAGGTACGTGCCCTTGACCAGAATCAAACCCGGGGCCCTTCGGTCCGCAGGCCAGCGCTCCACCCACTGAACCACACCGGCAAGGGCAGGACTGAGGTTTTTAGCTTCACTTAACCAACACTAGCAGTTCATCAAGTACTGGGAAGTATGGTGGCCCCTGCTAACCGCCTCAGAAAATATGTTCCCATTATGATTAAGGTCTACATAAATTAAACAAAGAGTAAGCTTATTCTATCAAGTGCATGTTTTGAGGGAAATAGAAATAAGGATTCTAATTCTGAAGCCATTATGCCAGAATTTGAAAGATTTCTCTAAGCTAAATTTCTCACAGCTGTTTCAGAAATCAGAAGCGAAATGGAGAGATTAAGGTTCTAATTAATATTTTCTCAAATACTGATCTGGCAGTTGCCCTCTGACTTGCAGGGGGAAAGAAACTAACATATACAAATGGCAAATATTTTAGTTATTCTGTATTTAAATACTTCCAACTACTGCAGAGAGACCAATGAACTTTACCATCAGAACAGAAGTGACATACAACACACCTGTATGCTCTCGCTTTCCTGCACAGTCACAGTCAAGCAGGTCGTGAGTCACACAGTGTGAACTCTCGTGTAACGTGAACAGATTTTTAAGCTCCTCTACTGAAAACTGGATATGCTCAGATGTCTTGGCCAGGTCCACAACCGCCCCAGAAAGACCTTGCTTACTGATCTGCCTTTGATAGATCTTTTCTTCTATTGTACCTGAAGGGAAAACATCCATTAGATTTACTGCAGATCCTTATGTCCGTTATTTCTGCAGGGTAAAATATGGTTGGCATATAGTTAACAAAAGAACAAATAATTCCTAACACGGAAGCACAGATTAACAACAACAACAACAACAATTCTTTTTATATTATTCAAAGGGATACATTTTTGGGGGGCACATTGAAGGGTTATTACCTGTGGTTAGGAGTCTGTAAATATGTACGGGATGTTTCTGACCATCTCTCCACACTCTAGACATTGCCTTAGAAAATAAATGACAATTCTGAGAGTACAGTTGAAACTAATAGCCTTTTCCACATAAGCAATTTGCATTAATACATTTAAGAATAAGAATTCTTGATTTTACTTACAGCTTCAAAAAACAAAGCCCAGGCATGTCAAAGCATTCTCCACTTCCTATCTTTTTCCTGAGAAAAAGGAAGGCATGGACACCCACTGTGGGGCTATGAAATAACTAGAGGGGCGTCAATAAAGTCAGAGGGTCTACCTGCATCAATGAATGGCACAGTGAGTTTAGAAAGCAAAAATGCAAAGACCTGCCCTGCCCGGTTGCTCAATGGTTACAGCACTGGCCCATGGACCTAAGGGGTCACAGGTTCGATTGCCAGTTAAGAGCACATACTTCAGTTGCAGGTTTGATCTCTGGCCAAGTCAGGGCACATGGAAGAGGCAACCATTCAATGTATCTTTCTCACATTGATGTTTCTCTCTCTCTCTCTCCCTTCCATTCTCTCTCTCTAAAGATCAATGGGGAAAAAATATCCTTGGGTGAGGATTAAAAAAAAGAAGAATGCAAAGAAGCCACGTGTAGCTGGAGCACAGAGGGATTATTCCCAGTCCAAGTAGCTCATGATTCATCCCTAAGGAATCCTGAGGATGCCTGCAATCAGTTCAGGCTCTAGGTCAGCGGTTCTCAACCTGTGGGTCATGACTCCTTTGGGGGTCGAATGACCTTTTCACAGGGGTCGCCTAAGACCATCGGAAAACACATGTATAATTACATATTGTTTTTGTGATTAATCACTATGCTTTAATTATGTTCAATTTGTAACAATGAAAATACATCCTGTATATCAGATATTTACATTACGATTCATAACAGTAGCAAAATTACAGTTATGAAGGAGCAACGAAAATAATTTTATGGTTGGGGTCACAACATGAGGAACTGTATTAAAGGGTCGGGGCATTAGGAAGGTTGAGTGTTGTGTGTTTCCTTCCACGTCCCATGTGGAGTAGGGTTCGGTATCTGAAAGAGGAGCCGCACACAAATGAGAGAAAAATTACACGAGATAATTTTTGTCTAGATTAACGGGGTGGTATCTAGATTAACTGGGTGGTACACAGCCCTGACCTTTGCTAGGGCTTCAAGGTTACTAACTTTGGGGGGTCTCTGTCTATACTCAGCTAGTGAAGGCAATAAATAGACTCCGGCCGTTGAGAACCACTGCTCTAGGTAGTTCCCCGAGGTTTCAGGACCAATGATACCATGCAGTAAGGGTTGATGTGCAAACCCTGCACTTTCCAAAGGTCTGGCCTTCCCTCCAGCTCCAAGTAGATAACCGCTAAGCCCTTGGCATATCCTGCCTGATGAGAGGGTCTCTGTCTACCTGAGGCCTTGCAGCCACTAGATCTTTTATGCTAACAGTGTAATTTAGGTGAGGGCTTTGGCTGTGTCCTGTCAGTTTGCCCTCTGGTGGAGTTGGAGATTGAATAACTGAGGTCAGTCACTCAAGTACTTCACGCCTACGTGAGCAACCAACAAAAACTCCAGACACCAAGATGAAATGAACTTCTGTCTGACTGTACTCATCGGTGCTGAGGAAGTTAAGTGCTGTCCATAGAACTCCAGTAGGGGAGGAAAAAGGAAAGCTTGTCCCTGGTCTCTACCCCATGTACCTTTTACCTTCACTGGTTTTAATCTGTATCTTTTCACTGTAATAAAAACACAGATACCAACTGAGGTGCAAATGTGTAAGTAGAAATCTTAAAACACATAAAGATGGACTGTATTCTGCAGTAAACCAAAGGCTTCTTCTGAACTATTTTCCTAAATAAGCTAATTTTATATCTATACTATACTCTGCACAAACATTGATCATAGCCCCTGATGGTCGTAAGCATCCTGATGTCCCAAGATGCAAGTGAACTGTGTTTGACAATACTCATCGATGCTAGGAAAACTATGTGTTGTCCATAGAACTCCGGTCGGGGAGGAAAATTAGGCCTGAAGTACCTGCAGTAACTTAGAGCCTAGAGACATACAGATTTGGGTTTGAATCCTGGCTCTGCCTTTTATAAGCTATTGTTACGGGCAAAAATAGAATATTGGGGACTAGCTGCGGTTATGGGAAATATTAATCATGCTCTGTTAACCATGATTGCCTTGTGTTGGTTTAATAAAGGATAGTCGACCTGGCTGGGAGTTGTGCGCCCCTAGGACCTGGGATTCAACCTTGGACCTGGGAATCAACCTTGGACCTGGGAATCAACCTTGGAACCATTCTCATTCAAGAACTGCCTATTATCATGGAAAGACTAACAACTTTGTTGCCCAAACAATGGAGTCCCACCCCAGTCTCCTACTTCCCATGCCTATAATAATCCCTACTTCCCCATACCTATAATTCATATTTCCCCGTGTATTCTTTGTCTTACCCTATATACGCACTGTCTTATGGTGGGGTGCAGAGCAGATTTTTGTGGATGACCTGCTGCTCTCCCGTACTGCTGGCAGTAGTGGAATAAACGCTCATATATGATTCAACCCTGTCTCTGCTTAATTGGCTCAAGTAGTGACAGGTAGCACGGACCCACTGATTGTCCAGTTACACTATGTGACCTAGAACAAGCTTTCATATCTTCATCTGCAAAATGGGGCTATCTACACTTAGGAGGATTATTGTGAAAACTGAATAGATGTGAAGCACTTAGCAGAGTGCCTGATGCAAAATAGGGGCTCAGTTACCATACCTCACCAGCATTTACCATACATCATCATCTTTGTATCCCCAGCAGGTATATCCCCAACAGGCATTCTATCATGTTTATTTAATGCATAAGAACTAGTCCTACCTGGATATCAGTGGCTGGATTCCAATCAATGTCATAGAGAATTAAGTGAGATCCTCCAATAAGGTTAAGTCCCACGCCACCAGCTTTTGAACTTAATAAAAAAATGAAATCAGAAGAGTATTTACTATTGAAGCCATCAACAATTTGCTGCCTTTGAGAGACTGGTGTTTGTCCATCAAGTCTTGTACAAGCATATCCATGACGCTTACATACTTCTTGTAAAATATTCAAAGTTTGTGTGTAGTTGGATACCAATACCACCCTGTCAATCAAAAAGAAAGATTCTGGGTATATTTGAAGAAAATTACCAAATAATATCATCACTGATATTTATAGAACATGCAACAATGACCATATACATTAAAACTCAGGTTCTCCTTCAAATTCAATTTTAAAGTCAGTATCTAAGAGATTTTCACGTTTTAAGATAGTGAAGTAAAAACTTTTCTGCCTTCTTCATCTCTCTGAAGTCACCCAAAAAACAGCCAGAGAATGAGAAACAGAAATACAAACTCTATCTTTGATTTTTTTTAAAGGAGGCATTTATATACGAAAACAGAAAATGATGAAATAGTGACCTACTTATGAGTACAGAGAAGGTGAAACCTAAGTGCCCAAAGTGGGAAATTACAATAAGAAACAAGAGTAAGTTCATCCACCCAGAGAATCTCTTTAAGGTGCCCCAGAAGGAAGGAGATTGGAGCTCTTACAAGAGCACTGACAATAGAACCCAGGCCCTATCCCATGTAACCAGTTGACTTTTCTTTCTCAAATACAATGTTTATTGGATGGAGAAAGTAAACCCTAGAAAGAGACTAGAAGAATTTAAAAGACAGGGCTATAATGACTAATCAGAATGAAAGTATGCATACAGAAGATCCCAGGCCCCTTTCCTGCCAACCCTAGAAAAGCAGCAGCCAGGCATCCCTCTTACATCCCACCCCAGGAAAGATATTATTGGAAGAATCCTCTCTGAGGTGACATGAATGGCCCCAGAAAAAAGATCCACAGAGAGAAGGAGTCCCTAAATAAAGAAGCCAACTCACTGCCTAATTACCCCATAAAGGAGACCAATCAACAAGCCTTACCCATGCACACATAACATTCAATAAGTTTCACTGCCTCACTCTCAAATATAAATGGACACTACAGATCACCATGTATTTGCGGTGAGTCTCCAACATTAAAAATAGAACAAAAGAGGAGAAACCTGAATAAAACAGCAATGGAGGGAACAGAAAACAACATCCTCAAGTAAGAGACAACATTCACAAGAAGAGGAGGCAATTTAAAAAATCAAGAATGAGAGAAATACTTTGTAAATTTAAAACGACGCCAAACTGTAATTTTCACTGGAGATTTTGCAGATAATAACGAGAGAGTCTGCCCAGAAATAGATTAAAAAGGAATGTAATGACCAATAAAAAAGAAAAAAGAAAGAATTAGATTTAGATGTCCATTAAAGAGTTAGAGAGAAGGATGTGGAAATTAGAACAGAGGGCTGGACTAGAGTGACAAACGGGATATATGGGTGATAGTTAAAACTAAGGGGGGTAGAGATAACCCAGACAGAGTGTTTAGAGTAAGAAGGAGACTAAAGAAAAAACCCTAAGGGGTATCAACATTTAAGGGATGGTAAAAAAAAAAAAAAGGACTCTGAAAGAGCTTAAAGTACAAGGTAGGTATTTTAAGACTTCTCTAGGTTTTTTTTAAAATATATGTATTTATACTTAGTTTTTTCTTAAATAAAAACTTACAGCCAAGACCGGTTTGGCTCGGTGGATAGACCGTCGACCTGCGGACTGAAGGGTCCCAGGTTCAATTCCGGTCGGGGGCATGTGCTTGGGTTGCGGGCACGTTCCCGGTGGGAGGTGTGCAGGAGGCAGCTGATCGATGTTTCTCTCTCATCGATGTTTCTGGCTCTCTATCTCTCTCCCTTCCTCTCTGTGGAAACTCAGTAAAATATATTAAAAAAAAACAAAAACAAACAAACAAAAACTTACAGACGCTGATCATGCCCCAAAGAAAACAACTTATTTTTAATGTTTTCTTCTTTTGAAAGAAAGGAGGGGCAGGGGAGTAAGGCCATACTCTAAGCCAAAATTCCAGGAGCACTTACAAGCAGGTTATTAAACTGACCACTTACCTATCAGTAGGACGAAGTTCGTGGATAACAGCTAGGAGCTTTGTCAGCACTTGAAGTTTTCCTGACTCCTTCTCAGTAAACATGAGAGGGTTATAATCCGCAGGGAACACATTTAGCAAGCCTTCATATAAACTGCTCTCTTCATGTTCATCCCAAGTTGAGCTACATTCTTTTTCCTATTCAAAAGAATGATTAACACTGGCTCATGTTTGTTTGTTTTTAATTAGAAGAGAAAAATGCTCAAATTATGGGAGGAAAGACGAATATTAATAGCTTCCTGAAAAGACCAAGCTAACTATCATGTAAATATTGTTGTTGTTAATTCTTACCCAAGGACATTGATTTTTAGAGAGTGGAAGGGAGGGTGAGAGGGGAAGAGAGGAAAATGAGAGGGGGAAGGAAAGAGAGAGAGCTAATCGATAATGTTTCCCTCTCTCCCTCTGTAAAATCAATAAAAACATATTTTTTTAAAAAAAGAATAAGTCGCCGAAACCGGTTTGGCTCAGTGGATAGAGCGTCGGCTTGCGGACTGAAAGGTCCCAGGTTCGATTCCGGTCAAGGGCACGTACCTGGGTTGCGGGCACATCCCCAGTGGGAGATGTGCAGGAGGCAGCTGATCGATGTTTCTCTCTCATCGATGTTTCTAACTCTCTATCTCTCTCCCTTCCTCTCTGTAAAAAATCAATAAAATATATTTAAAAAAAAAAAAAGAATAAGTCAATCTAGAAAAGTACTTCATGTCTGGTACATGATAAGTACTTAATAAGTGCTAGCTAAGATTATTATTATTAATATCAAAATGTGGTTTTCTCTGGCTGGAGAGCTTTATTTCTTTATACTAAATTTCAAAAAGTGGTATGCCTGGTCACAAAATATACAAAATTATAAGGCTTTTGATACATATTACCAAACTATCTTCCATTTATTTAACAATTTGCATTCTAGCCAGTATATCATTTTTATTGTCTTTTTTGTGATTTTCTGAATTTCATACAAAAATTATGTGTTACTTTATAATGAAGAAAAAATAAATTATTTTTAATGGCAAATTTTTTATTTGTTAGCACCAAACAAACAAAACTGACTGGCTCTATTAATAAAAGACAGGAAGAGAAACTATGACAAAGTACTAGACAAGATACCAAAGGGCATGGGGCACACAGTCTAGAAGGCAGAACCTCAAACCCATTCTATCCCTAGTTCAGCTCTACGAACATGGACATGCTCTGAAGAACAAACAGGGGCCGAACCTGCTCGCGAGTAGAACCATCCTGAAGAGACTCAGATCCTTGGGGAAACCCACAAATACAACCCCAGGAATTAGTCCAATCTGCCCTCTTAGCTTCACATGACAGAACCCTCAGCTCACATCCTGACACAGTCTCACATGCTACTCACCTTTATGGAATTGAACAAAAGGCAGGGATGATTGCACAGTTTCTTAAGAGCTCCTATGCATATCAGATGAGGACTGTTTTCCAACGACCCTTGAAGACAGAACCTCACAGCCTGAGAATTCAACAGCTTTTGATAAAGTTCAAGCTGTAGTGCCCCTGGACGGCAAAAGACTACATTCTCTATTTTCGGTGGAAGATATTTATTTATGACCTCTTGGGTTCTTCTAAGAAAAAAGAGTCCAGTGAAGCAAACTAGTTCAGCTGCTCTCCTCTCTCCTAACTCCTTGTCTTCCTATGAAGGAAATAGCAGACCTAAAGTTGACTTGCAGTTAAAATGAACATTAAATATTTTACAATGATAAACTAGTTACTTCAATTCAGATTTCTGATTCATCAGAATAAATGAAATACAAGTTTGTGAAAGGAAAACCAACCATCATCTCTTTACTAGTAAATGTTCAGCATAACCATCTAATTAAGTGAAGCCACAGTTTCCTAAATTTTTGTTTGTTTGGCTATTTGGCACCAGTGAGAGCAACCAGAAATCTATACTCTACAAACTTAATTATTCTGAAAGGAAGTTTTTATGTGAATACTGTAATGGTACATAGTCTTAAAATCAAAGAGCTGATACAGCAAAGTCTTGTAAGCAAATATTTTGACAAGTTATTGAACCTAAAATTAACCCTATAGGAAATTACTGGCACAAAGCACTACTGATTCTTTCCAAATTGTTACACATTATTCATTAAATAATAGTACAGTTTTAAAATCAAAATACAGTATGAGTAAAACATGTCCCAAATGGAAGAATAAAATAAAATTCCAGAAAAAAGAACTAAACAAAATGGGGACAAACAATCTACCAGATGCAGAGTTCAAAACACTGGTTATATAGAATCTTTAGAGTATACAGAACTTCACAATGAAGCTTAAAATAAATCCCATATGTGTATATTTGTTCATATATATGCATCCCTATGTTCAGTGCAACATTATTTAAATAACCAAGATATGGAAGCAACCTAAGTGTCCATCAGTAGATAAATGGATAACGAAGAAGTGGTGCATACACAATGGACTATGGCTCGGCCGTTAAAAAAGAGTGAAATGGCCGAAACTGGTCTGGCTCAGTGGATAGAGCATCAGCCTGCGGACTGAAAGGTCCAGGGTTCGATTCTGGTCAAGGGCATGTACCTCAGTTGCAGGCTCGATTCCTGGGCCCGGTGGGGGTGTGTGCAGGAGGCAACCAACAAATGTGTCTCTCACATTGATGTTTCTCTCTCGGTCTCTCCCCTTCCCTTCCACTCTCTCTAAAAATCAGTGGAAAAATATCCTGGGGGGGGGGGGTGGGGTGCAGTAGGCAGCCAATTGATGATTCTCTCTCATCATCGATGTTTCTACCTCTCTCTCCCTCTCCCTTCCTCTCTGAAATCAATGAAGAAATTATATATATATGAAATGTTATCTGTAACAACATGGATGACCCTAGAGGGTATTGTGCTGAGTGAAATAAGTCAGACAGGGAAAGACAAATGCCATATGATTTCACTTATATGTGGAATCTAAAAAACAAAACGAAAACAGACTTATAGTTAGAGAACATTTGGATGGCTAGCAGATGGGAGGGGGGTTGGAGGCTGGGTGAATAAGGGGAAAGTATTAAGAAGTACAAATTGTTACCTTGTTATCCTTTTAAAGTCTGTAGGATCTGTAGTACTATGCCCATTTTTATTTCTAAAAAGTATTCCACTGTGGTCAGAAAACATACTTTATATAATTTGAATCCTCTTAAAATTTTTGAGTTGATGCCATAACCGATTTGGCTCAGTGGAGTCGGCCTGCGGACTGAAGGGTCCTGGGTTCGGTTCCGGTCAAGGGCATGTACCTTGGGTTGCGGGCGCGTCCCCAGTGGGGAGTGTGCAGGAGGCAGCTAATCGATGTTTCTAACTTTCTATCTCTCTCCCTTCCTCTCTGTAAAAAATCAATAAAATATATTTTTTTAAAAAAAGTACAAATTGGTAGTTACAAAGAGTCATTGGGATGGAAAGTACAGCATAGGGAACACAGTTAATAATACTGTAATAACTATGCATGCTGTCAGATGAACACTAGATTTATGGGGATAATCACTCTGTAAGTTACATAAATAACTAATTATTATATTATACACCTGAAACTAATATAGTATTGTATATCAACTTTAATTAAAAAATAAAATATCTGCCGAAACCAGTTTGGCTCAGTGGATAGAGTGTCGGCCTGTGGACTGAAAGGTCCCAGGTTCGATTCCGGTCAAGGGCATGTACCTGGGTTGCGGACACATCCCCAGTAGGGGACGTGCAGGAGGCAGCTGATCGATGTTTCTCTCTCATCGATGTTTCTAGCTCTCTATCTCTCTCCCTTCTTCTCTGTAAAAAGTCAATAAAATATATTAAAAATAAAATAAAATATCAGCCCTGGTCAGTGTTGCTAAGTGGTTAGAGCTTTGGCCCAAGCACCGAAGGGTCTCAGGTTCAATTCCCAGTCAAGGGCATGTACTTGGATTGCAGGTTCAATCCCTGGCGCCAGTCAGGGCACATGCAGGAGGTAGGTAACCAATCAATGTGTCTCTCGCACATCGATGTTTCTCTCTCTCTGCCTCTCTCTCTCTGTCTTCTCCTCGCCCCCCCCTTCCATTCTCTCTGAAAATCAATGGAAAAAAATACGTTTTTATTGATTTAGAGAGAGAGGAAGGGACAGGGAGAAAGAAAGAGAGAGGATCATCGATGTGAGAGAGAAACATCGATCAGTTGCTTCCTGTATACACGACCAGGAATCAAACTCACAACTTGGATATGTGTCCTGACCAGGTTTCAAACCCATTGATCTTTTGGTGTACAGAATGATGCTCCAACCAACTGAGCCACACTGGCAAGGGCCATTTTGGTTTACTTTTCAATGCCAGTAAGGATGAGACTTTTTACATGTTTACTATCAATTATAGTTCTTTCTATATGAAGTACCTATTTATGAAATTTTAAAAAGTGATACTAGCCAAAACCAGTTTGGCTCAGTGGATAGAGCGTCGGCCTGTGGACTAAAAGTTCCCAGGTTCAATTCTGGGCAAGGGCATGTACCTTGGTTGTGGGCACATCCCCAGTGGGAGATGTGCAGGAGGCAGCTGATCGATGTTTCTCTCTCATCGATATTTCTAACTCTCTCTATCTCTCTCCCTTCCTCTCTGTAAAAAATCAATAAAATAAAAAAAAATAAAAAAAAGTGATACTATTATTTTCTAAAATAAGGAATACAGGAGTTTAAGGATTGTGAGGGGGGAAAAATAACAATACTAATTTATTTATTTATTTTTTTTTTTAAATATATTTTATTGATTTTTTACAGAGAGGAAGGGAGAGAGACGGAGAGAGATAGAGTTAGAAACATCGATGAGAGAGAAACATCGATCAGCTGCCTCCTGCACATCTCCCACTGGGGATGTGCCCGCAACCCAGGTACATGCCCTTGACCGGAATCGAACCTGGGACCCTTCAGTCCGCAAGCCGACGCTCTACCCACTGAGCCAAACCGGTTTCGGCAACAATACTAATTTAATTTCTCCTAAATTAAAACTACCCAAGTTATAGAGAATTTCCCCAGGCATACTGCTCTTTTTATTTTTTTCATACTGCTCTTTTTTTTAACCTAAATTGATTAAAATAAATTATACCTTAGAAGCAGAAGGTTGTCTTGATACAATGATGGGTTCTTCATATATTTTTCTAAAAGATGACAAAGAGCCCAATATTCCTGGATTTACAAAATCAATTAATGCAAAAAATTCTTGCAGATCATTCTGAACTGGAGTACCTAAAGAATTAAAAGTGATGAGGTCAAGTTTGTGTTTTACAATCACAGCTCTACATAGAAATTTGTACTTACTTCCTTAAATGGACTAACTTTAAGCAAAGTCCCTAAAACTGAGGACAAAAGAGCAATCAGATCAAGTTGAAAAAAATATATTAATAATTAGATAAAGTTTTAACTCTGGTTTTGACTGTATACTAAATTCTTCTTTAGTACAGCATAGTGGCTGAGTGCATGTTCTAGAGTCTGCTTGGGCTCAAATCCTACCTGCATCAAATCCTGCCTGAGTGACTCTGAGGAAGTTACTTACCCCAGTTCTATCATTTGTAAAATGGGAATAATCATAGTAGCTCCTAGAGCTGTAGGGATCAAATGAGATAATCCATATACTTACTTAGAATAGGGCCTAGATCACAATAAATGTTCCATAATCCTTAGTAATTCTTAATTATTATAACTGTGTGATTTCAAATTGCCTTAGCTTATCTTTAAGTTAAATTCAAGATTTTTTTTTTCACTTATAAAAGTGGGAAGATAATATTTTCCCAGTGGTATTACAAAGAAAAGAAAAAAATAGAGACTATGTATGTGAAGTGACCAGCACAGTGCCTGACATTTAGTAAAACACTCAGTGAATGGCACCTACTGTTATTGTCTTTCAAAGTTGCCAGATCAAAGTGGGATCTTCATTAATCTGAAAGGCTGACAGACTGAAATGAATTAATATACCCTGTATAATTATATACTCAATAACTTTGGCTAACTAATATTCAAAAGAACATTAGCATGCTTCAATAATTATAATAGCAAAAGAACATATAAGTCAGCATAGTCCAAGAGTATAAAAGACTAGAAAAATTATCCAAAGATATAAATAATAAAATTCATTTTTAAAAATGCACTTATTTCATTAACATAAAAAATATGAATTTTACAATATCAGAGAGTTTAAGGATCACTTTTCTCAAAACTAAATGGGTCAACTCCAGGTTGGACCAATGCTTACCAGTGTGTGTTTTTTTAACACAGCTAATCAATTCTACATTTTTACACACATCATAGAAAGACTAGAGAAAATATATGTTGTATGCATTTTGTTACACTTTTAAAAGAAAATCCATGACAATGACTAATAAAAATAGGGAGAATGGGGAAAGCAAGAAGGAAAGGGGAGGGAGAGGAATAAGGATCATTGTGGTTGGTTTCCAGGCATTCATCTAGCCCGAACTGATGAACTCAAGCCAATCACAATAGTCCCACCCTTTGCCAATGACGGATGTAGCAAGGGTTTGTGTCTCATCCCGGGTTCCTCAGAAGCAGAGCCCGAGATAAGTATTTGGCTGCACGTGATTTAGAGAGGGAGTGCTCTCGGCACAAAGAGAACAATGGAACCCAAAAATAGCAGAGGGAGAAAATAAGCAAGGATAGCCTCGAGCTAAATTATAAGGAGGCTTGGAGCATAAATTGTACCATAAAGTTGGTCCTGAAATTACTCTGAAGCAAGCGGGCTGGCATTTTCCACTTTCCCTTTTGTGAGTCAATCACTGGCCAAGCTATAGGTGACAGAGTAAGCGCTTATTCAACCAGGGATCATTCTCCAGAAGAGATGGGAGACATGCGTTGTTTAATCAATAGTCCTAGCAGCTAAGAGATGGGTGCAACCAGAAAGGAGAGCTAGGAAAGGCACCGACAGTTTCCACCAACATCATCTGACCCACCCTGTCCCAGGAGACATGAGAGGACGTGAGAGAGGGGCTTCTGGGAAAGTTTCCTCACTCTTGAAAATAGAGAAACAGGAAGAGCCAGTCTACGCTCTCCTTGGGACATCACCACATCTAGATGTGATGCTGGAACTGCTGCAGTCAGGATGAAGCCAGCACTGGCACAGCAGAAGACAAAAAGAACCAAAATCATTGTGGATATTGCTGAGCTGCTGTATCACACCCTGAGCCTGCACCAGCTCTAGACTTCCAGTTATGTGGGAGAAAAAGCACATTGAATTCAGATGTTACTTGTACCTGAAATCACCCTAAGTAATACACAGGGGAAAGAGGCCAAAGGAAAACTTTAAAAAAAAAAAAAAGGAAAAGAAAAAAGGCAGAATACAAAAAGGTGATAAGACAAAAGGATTTTGGGAAGAAAAAAAGGAAAAACAGAGAGAGGTATGTGGCCACAAGAGAAAGCAATACACTAGCACAGTGTCATCCTAAGAAGTCACAAAGGCTGTCTAGAGACTCTGCAGTCCCTAATTCACTGCTTGTAGTACTCTTCTCTAATTCTAGGTAGAACTTGTAGAAGAAGCTACTAGTAAATAACTTAATGTTAATAAAAGTCAAGCAGCAATGTCCTGTGACAAGAAAAAAGGAAACGCTAATGATTGAAGTCAAGTTGGTATGTTTACTAAAACTATTCAGAGCTTTGGACGAGCTGGGGAATATTACATAGGGATTGGAAATTCAGTCCTACCAAGGCTTCATTAGGATGGGTTTATTAGCATGAACTCCATTCAATACATGGATTCGTTGGATGCTAAGCATCATATTATAAGTTGTATATGTTCCATAGGCAGCAATTCCATCACCTCCACCCAAAAGTAAATACTGACCAGTTAGAATTATTCTTTTCTCACAAGCGAGGCTAATGAGGGCTGTGGTTGTCTTAATGGCACTGTTCTTCAAACGATGCCCTTCATCACAGATGAGGAGATCAAATTTTATATTCTTAATTTGATCCAGGGAACGAAGTAACATTTCATAACTGATAATCAGAACAGAATATAATGGAGATTTGATGAATTCTTCTACTTTGTGGTCCTAAAAAAAGGAGAACATAATACTTAACAAATCTTGGGCAGGAACTGTACAAAGTAAAATTTAAGCAGCATATTTCTCACAGCCACTAAGCAAGTATTAGAATATGTTAACTCAAAACCAAAAAGATTCTATTTTTCTGCAAAGGAGATGGAGAGTTACATACACTTGAGAAACTGCTACATTAGAGAGTGAAAATTACAGTAATGATTTGAAAAACTACAGATTTAGACAATGACCAAGGCTAAACTTTTAAGTCTCTTACCTGATCAACAGTAAATATCTTGATCCTTTCACTTCCTAACCATTTTTGAAATTCTCTCCTCCAATTATTCACCAAACTTCCAGGTGTGACAATAAGTGTCTTCTTTATTATCGGCTTGCCTCCATAAGGTCCCTGACACTGTAGAGTCCAGAGGAGTGAAATACATTGCAATGTTTTCCCTAAACCCATTTCATCAGCAAGAATAGCTCCACATCTGCCATTCACTCTGTTAGAAATAATTACACTTCTTTAATCACAATAGGAAAATATTTTATGGCTCTAAAATCCTCACTTATTAGTCAAGAACCAGAAGCTGATATTTTGTAATTAAAACAATTCTATTCCCTAAATACTTTTTCTAGTTTTTCATTCAGCTGATTTACATATCTCTTTTGCATCTTTGATAATTGTACTCATTATATATTTATTGCCTAAGAAATTACTAAAATAAATCTGAAATTAGAGTTGAATCTAAATCATTTGTTACTACTATGTATATACTTAGACTAGAAATGAATCTCAATTTTATATCTACATATGAATACTTGAACTGTCCTTATCACTAACAGTTCAGCAGTTTTTATGTCTTGTTAGTAGTTATCAAAACAGTTTAAAATATATTGTAATCCTAACCATCAACAGCTATCAAGCTGTATTTATGATTCTCTGACAGTAAAAACTTCAACCAAAATATCTCCCTAAACTATAAGAAATATTAAATACTAAATATTTAATCTAATGCACATAATTTATTAAGAGTCTGTTATCACAGATCTACTAAGTTAATGCAATTTAAAATTAAATAGTACAAGAAGCCCTGACCGGTTTGGCTCAGTGGATAGAGCGTTGGCCTGAGGACTGAGAGGTCCCAGGTTCGATTCCGGTCAAGGGCATGTGCCTTGGTTGTGGGCACATCCCCAGTGGGAGGTATGTAGGAGGCAGCTGATCGATTTCTCTCTGATCGATGTTTCTAACTCTCTATCTCTCTCCCTTCCTCTCTGTAAAAAATCAATAAAATATATTTTTTTAAAAATAGTACAAGAAATATTTTAAGTGGCATCTCATACCACTTTATAGTTTTTAAAACCCTTTGACAGATATAGTTGATAGATATTTTAAAGGTTACAAAGTCCAAGGGAATTGAGGATATTACAGAAAACATAAGTATAGTCTGTTAATCATTCTATTCCTTATTGCTAGAAATAATAAGCAAAAAGCAATTCTTAAAATATGTTTTCCATTGCAAAGTATGGAAATAAAATTGCAAATATGAATTCTAGCCACTGTTATCATTTTTCATCAACAGTTTGCCAAGGCAAGACCAAATGCCAGTTGAGATATTGAGTGGCAGAGAGAAAACAGTAATGCATCTTTCATGGTAAAGAGAAGAGCACAAGAAAGGCTTCCCTGAGAAGATGCACCTTGAGCAAAATTCTAAGAGATGAACAGGAATTCACTACACAGACTGAGTAGTTCAGTATACTTGGTCCTTGAGTTGAATTCCAAGCAGGGAAATACAAGGCTATGGACCTGGCAGCACAGGCAGAAAGAAGACAAAAGATGGGGCTACTTATCCTTGAAAGGTCAGACTGTATCTTGTAGGTCAGTGTTTCCCAAACACCAGGTTTTCATGACCACCATCACAATTTTTGCCATATGTGTTATTATTTCTTTATTATTTTTCTTTCAATCCGCATACTTTTTATTTAGATTTATTTGAAAAGAAAACTCTTTCTACACATAATTTACCCGTGAAACCAAAAGTTAAATGTGCTATTTTTTTTCTAATAATTCATTGGCTAAAATATGCTACTATTAAAATTCAAAAACAAAGCGTGCTCATGTATACTTAAAATTACCCAACATACCAGCAGGGGAGTGCATATCACAGATTAGGAAACACTGCTCTAAGTTCTCAGAGTCTGAATGATTTTAAGCAAGGGAATGCCACGTTCAGAACTGTCTTACAGAAATACCAAACGAGTGGATTTAAGGAGTATGAGAAGCAGACATGCACGGTAGGAGTCACTGCAATAGTACAGATAAAATGTAACTTTACAACATCGGCTCCCACAACTGCTGCAGGGTTTGATTAGACTGAGAAGGGGAAATTGAAGAAATCACAGGTGATTCCCAGGCCAACTGAGATAAGATCTCCAAAGAGAAGAGCAAATCTGGGCGAAAACATGAGTCTGGACAGTTTCCTAGAGACAACATTCCCTTAACTTGTTCTCGGAATTTTTAGGAATTGACATTCCCAACTCCCTGTTAAACGACCAATTTAAAAATCAAGGGCCTATGCATTAAAGAAAGAACTGGAAGGAAATACACCAAGATGTTACCAGGGACCTTTGACTTCTTTTATTTCCTTTGTCTGGATTTCTGGGGGGATTGAGGTGGACTTCTATCATATCTTTAAGAGAGGGTACTACCATTCTTTAATCAGAAAACTCGATTTAAAAGGAAGGGGGGAATCTTGGTCATCTTTTTAAAGTAGAGGCGAGATAAGAAAAAAACCTTTTTCTAAAATTCTCATAAGGAGAATTAAGGTTTCTTCCATTTTGCACCCATATACCTTAATCATACTAGTAATAAGCTCTTATTGTATCCCATTAAGGTTGACTGCATTTATTTGTTTCTTCAAATGAAGAGAGAGGGCGATGGTCCTGAATCCTGCATGCCCAGCTCCTGGCACGATGGCTATGATATGGTATCCATCAAGAACCACTTTTGAAATAAATGCACACATTAAGTACCACTCATCATTCCAACTAAATTCATAATGGACCCTCTGCGAATCATTGTATCAGACTCTTCCTAGAAAACCATTATGTTATGGGCTAAATCAAAACTCAGATTAGACTCAACTCAAATGATTTCTTTTCCTACCTCATTCCCATCACACATTCATAAAGGAATATGAGTCCTTCTTTCTGATGTGGCCGAAGATAATATGCAAGGTGAGGATCTATCACAACATCCACAACAGGGAAACAGTTTTTATTGAACATCCACTGATGATTTTTGTCTGGTCGGGGCATAACAAGGGAATCTTAAGAAAAAGGTAAAACAATAATTATAAATGAATTGTAATTTCACTTTGTTAGCAACTATATTATCTTGTTTTAATTACTCATAAGATAGAACTGTTTGCCATCATTTGTGGCAAAAAAGAAAACCACAACTCTTCAAAATGAATAACATTAATGCTAAGCAAGGGTACAAAATCCTATATAATAAAAGGCTAATATGCAAATAGACTGAACGGCTGAACGACCAGTCGCTATGACATGCACTGACCACCAGGAGCAGACACTCAATGCAGGAGGTGCCCCCTGGTGGTTAGTGCGTTCCCACAGGGGGAGCGCCACTCAGCCAGAAGCCACCAGGCGAGTGCAGCGGCAGTGGCAGGAGCCTCTCCCACCTCTGAGGCAGCGCTAAGGAGCAGCGAACAGGCGGGTGGTAAGAAGCAAGGGCACAGGCTGGGCTGAGGGCCGCCCCCCGCCCCCCTAGTGATGAATTTTCATGCACTGGACCTCTAGTTTAAAAATAAAATCTCACGCCTTGTTGATGTAAGATTTCATGCAAAGAATTACAAAGAGTTTTCTAAACTTCATATACTCAAAGTGCTCTGAAATTCACTATTTCTAATAAGAAATCCACTAAGCCACAACATTTAACAGTTCAGTACTCAAAGCAAAGAGAACTATTATATCCAACTATCCAACCGAAAGCATAGGTTGGAATTTTGCCAACATGTGCTTGCAAAGCTCACAGCTTCTTATTCTGGAAAGGCTCCCTACATTTAACATAAAGACCCTTTATTTTCAGTCCTGTACATACTAACAATAGCCACTACTCCTATCAACCAGAAGAACTGAGAATTTTCCATCGACTTCACCACCACTATTTGCTTCAAGTTAATCACTATATTCATGAATGTCAAAATAATGAATCTTTGCAAAACAGCATGAAGTAACCATAGAACAATAATGTAATTCTTTAGAAATATGCTAACACAATTTAAAAGTTTTATTAAAATACCACCAAAAATTACAAAATCAAATATAACTAGATAGCAGGTCTCAAATGATAAATCTGAAGTTATTATTGACTGGCTGCCTCCCACACGCCCCCCCACTGGGGATTAAGCCCACAATTCGGGCACATGCCCTGACCAGGACTCGAACTGTGACCTCCTGGTTCATATAGATCAATGCTCAACCACTGAGCCATGCCGGATGGGCTAAAATTTAATTCTTTACATGACATCTTACTATTCAATATTTTAATATGATAATGCATGTAATCAAGACAGTCTTCAAAATGGAAGTATAGTAAATATAATCCTCATTCATTAATTTATTAATTTTTCTCCTTACTAAATGTCATATTTTATCCAAAATCATACACATGTATGTCTGTGTGTATACATCTACAATTTGCATATTTACCTTCAATGCATGTACAGAATTTTTATTACTGTTTCTTACAAAATAATTCTCAAACCACATTGTCACTCAACATCAACATTATCCCTTACATCAGATTATGTATCTGAAGAATAATATATACATAGTTTCATCTGAAAAGTTTAAAAGAAAATTTAAAGTTTAAATTCACATACCAACAATCTTTTGACAGGAGAAACAGAATATTAAAACTAATTTTTAAATCTTACTTGGTGCACATGGATCATGGCGTGGTTTGCAATTTTGGAAACTATTCTGCCTATTTTCCTTTGAACTTGGTTTATAGACACTTTTTAAGGGGTTAGAAAAACACTTCTTGGCAGCTTGAGAAGAACTTGATATAGCAGGACCTCCTCCTCCAAGCTGAAAGCATCTGCCACTGCTGAAATCATCTGGGGAGATCGAACCCATGATTTCTATTTCTTTTCCGCCAATCATCATTGTATAGCCCTCTTCGATCTTTTCAAGCTCTTTGAATTTATATCCAGTGCCTTTAAATTGAGAACAAAGAAAGTTAATTTCCTGATACTCTAAGATGACTTAATTACAGATACCATAGTCACCTTCCCATAACTATACAAGAAAACTGTGCTTTGAATGCAAATAGCCTTGTATAACCCATTAGCCAGGATGAAAACGTAATTTATCATTTTGGTAAACAAAACAAAAAAAAGACAAAAAACACTAAGAAATCAGAAAAAATAAATAATAATAAAGTTATAAAAAATCAGCCAAGTTTTAGCCCTGGCTGGTGTGGCTAACATGGTTGGAGCGTCATCCTGTGCACAGGAAGGTCACAGGTTCAACTGCCAGCCAGGGCACATATCCAGGTTGCCAGGTCCATCCCAGTCAGGGTATGTATGGAAGATAACAGGTCAATGTTTCTCTCTCACATCGATGCTTCTCTCTCTCTTTCTCTCTCTCTCTCTCTCTCGCTCTCTCTCTCTCTCTTTCTCTTTCTCTCTCTCATCCATTTCCCTTCCTCTCTCTAAAATCAATTTTTAAAAAATTTAAGTGGGATATTTTACACCAAGTCTGTTTGAATTATTAATTCAACAGATATTTATTAAAGGTTGCCATGTGTAAGGTGCTGATGGAATGTAAATATGAGTAAGTCAGTCACAGTTTGTTCAAAATGAGCTCATTAACCAGATAAATAGTGAGAAACTTTTAGACTCCTATGACTGTCTACTTTAAATGCATATAGTTATTGTGTGATTACAGGAGGGTAAGAACTGTGTCTACCATAAATGTTTTTAAGGCTCTAAAAAATAAAACACTCACATTTTAGAAAATATGACCTGTTTAAACTAGCTGGAAATTGCTACAATTTGCCCTATTAAAACTGGACTAAAATTTACAGTCTGTACCAACTGGTAACATATATATATTCTTAAATGATTTATAATGGAGCACTTTTTAACGTTAATGCTCTAATAGAGGAAGAAATTAGCTAGCTTCTATTCCAAAATGACCAACTGCTCTATTCCCCAAACTATCAGAATTCAACAGTAGTCTTGACCTCTCCACATTAATGAGGATTATAGTTTTATCTTCATACATAATAGTCCCCCCTCTTTTTTTTTTTGGAAGAAAATGAAACTACAAGATGGGATCTGCCTCACCGAGCTAGTATACATAAGACTAAACGTTATGAGAGAATTTTATGTTTACGAGGAAATTTAGATATGAACATCTTAAACGACCCCTTTATAAAACCCCATTAGATTTCAATGATGTAACCAAAGATATATACTAATTTCAGGCCAATTCATAAACATTAAGTAATATCACAATACCTCTTCCAATGTCTTTGCCTTCCAGGTCCTTTAATGTAAGAGATTTTCCGTTGACAATAAGAACAGCATCCCCTTCCCACGTTTTGTGCTTTTTCTTTGACGCCTTACACCAAACAACAGTGAAATATTTAACCGCGCTCCCAGGTTCCACTTCTTGTCCCTTAGACACTGGTAGGTCTTCAGGCGATGAATAAACTAGAATAAAAATATAAAACATAAACCATATTACTAGAGATCACGTTAATGTTTAAAAGTAAAGCCAAACAAAAAAAAAACCACAAAAAAATAAGACTGTATTAAGAAGTATGAAAGAATATTTGACATTATCATGTTAACATTTATAAACTGAGAAATTCAAATGTCAGGTACTAGCATTACCATGAGAGCAATGAACACAAATTTTTTTTATCTCAAAGTCATATAAACTCAGTTAAAGTAAAATAACATAATAATCACTGAAAATATTTTAAAACTCTAAGAATTAAAAATATTTCAACAGCCATGGGAAAATAGCTAAAATCACATGTTTTAACAACTGATTTAATTAACAGTAATTCAACAAGTCAGGGTAACCTAAAATAAGATCACAAATTTCTCTGAAAGAAAAATCTGTAGTTTTTTCAAATAAGAACAAATGTAAAACAGCAAAGTAGGAATAAGACTGAATTTTATTAAAATACTTTTGTGTCCCAGTTAGAGACTAATGCTGGGCCACTGATTCTAAGAGTCTAGGTTTTCCATCTTACAAAAGCCTGTACTTTTCTCAAAAACATTTTCAGAATCACCTTCTAAAAACATATCCAATGTTAACTAGACTTATTGTGGTGATTATTTCAAGATATATATAAGCCCTGGCCGGTTTGGCTCACTGGATAGAGCGTCGGCCTGGGGACTGAAGAGTCCCAGGTTCGATTCCGGTCAAGGGCATGTACCTTGGTTGCAGGCACATCCCCAGTTGGGTGTGTGCAGGAGGCAGCTGATCAATGCTTCTCTCTCATCGATGTTTCTAACTCTATCCCTCTCCCTTCCTCTCTAAAAAATCAATAAAATATTTTTTAAAAAAGATATATATAAAATATTACATTGTACACTTGAAATTAGTATGATGTCATATGTCAGTGATTTTCAACCAGAATGGCGCAAGAATTTTTAAAACATGCAATACCTGCTGGACTCCCTCTGGCCCCACCCTGAGGAGCTTACCCCTGCTGAGTACAGCCATAAGCTCTTCCTGTGACTGCAGCTATAGCCAGCCAGCAGGCAGGGCCAGGCCAGGCGGGGAAGGCGGAGGTGGATCTAGGGGTGCCTTAGGATTTTTGCTGTCCTGCCCCCAGGCCCGGTGCTGGTAAAAACCAGCATTGGTGGGCAGCTCGGTCCTTCCTGCACGCACCCAGGCCCAGCAGAGGCAGCCAACCTATGGATCGCTTGTAGCTCCAAACAGGTTGCCGAGGACCGGTCAGCCACGGGCAGCATCTTACACTGGCCAGCACAAGAATCCCTCCCAACAGGCCCAGAACTAGCACACCCAGTGGCCAGTTTCAGACACCAGAGCAGGAGCCAACAGCTTCCCAAGCAGGCACCAAATCCTCCTGCATGCCCCTGGTTCACAGGCCAACCACTGAGTGACCACTCAACCACTGAGTGACACCGACCAGGTCAACCACTGAGTGACCATTCAACCACTGAGTGACACCGACCAGGTCAACCACCGAGTGACCACTCAACCACTGAGTGACACCGACCAGGTCAACCACTGAGTGACCACTCAACCACTGAGTGACACCAACCAGGTCAAAATTTACCAGTTTTTAGATAAATTGATAGTTGTCACATTATTTCAGTTGTTTTATCAACCTTGATTTTCCCAGATAAAGTTTTCCGTTTTTAGCATTAACAAAAAAAGACAGATACTTTGATTAGTTTTTTTAACTCTAAAAAACTTTGTGGTGTGCAATTTTTGTTGTTGTTAAACCTCATCCAAGGATATTTTTCCATTGATTTTTAGAGAGTGGGAAAGGGAGGGACAGAGAGAGAGAAACAGGGATGTGAGAGAGACACATGATTGGTTGCCTCCTGCATGCACTCTGACCAGAGCCAGGGACCAAGCCTGCAACCGAGGTACAGTGCCCTTGACCGGAATCAAACCCAGGATCTTTCAGTCCTCGGGCCACCTTTCTATCCACTGAGCCAAACTGGCTATGGCTGTGGTGTGCAATTTTAATTCATTTTCTTTTTGCATGTGTTCTACCAATAGCAGTAACTATGCATTAAATGAAAGACTGATACCTTTCTGCACTTTTAAAATTTGTTCCTGTTTTATATTTGGTTATCCAAGAGAAAAATGTAATTCTTAGGATCACTATAAAACTGGGGGGGGCGGGGAGGGGAGTTATGTCTTCATCAAATGGCTGGGTAAAACATTCTAGAGCAGCGGTTCTCAACCTGTAGGTTGCAACCCCTTTGGGGGTCGAACGACCCTTTCACAGGGGTGGCCTAAATACATCCTGCGTATCAGATATTTACATTACGATTCATAACAGCAAAATTACAGTGATGAAGTAGCAACGAAAATAATTTTATGGTTGGGGGTCACCAAAACATGAGGAACTATATTAAGGGGTCGGGGCATTAGGAAGGTTGAGAACCGCTGTTCTAGAGTCAAATATCCTGTTGTGTTCCCAGGACCTAAAAGTGACTGTTATGTCCAAGACCCTCCCCCTGCAAAAAAATGAATACAACAAAAGACAATAAGTTCTGAGAATTCAGAAATTACCTATAATTAACTTTGAAATACCATAAGGTACTTAGACTTAGATATATCCTTTCTTTTGTACAAGAGCAGGAGAGTTAAGAGCGTGAGCTAATCTGGCTGGGTTTGAATCTTGAGTCTGCCACTTACTAGCCATGTGACCTTAGACAAGTTCCCCCTCTATGCCAGTTTAAGAATCTCTAAGTAAATAATACTAACACCTCCCTCCCTTGTTGTGGGCATTAGGTTAGCTAATATGTGAAAAAGGCTTATTGCCCTGGAATAAGTACTCCTTAAATGTTACCTACCATCATTATCATCTTGCCCTTGTCCCTTTCCCATTTAGTCCCATTTTAAATGCAGGATTTAGGGTAGGAAAGGGGAGTGAATAATTCCAAAAAACAGGATGAAGACAACTGAAAATTAAACACATATCCAACATAACCTCCTATATCCACCTTACTTGTATTATATAAAATAGTGACTAATTTGAAACATCAAAGGCAAACCACCCCTAAAAATTCCACCTTAACTGTACTTTTTATTTCTAAACTTAGTTCTGATCTATTTTGCCCTTGACCCTATAATGTACTTCTCAAATCAGTAACAAATGGTCTCTGTATACACAAGAGACTTAAAGGCCTTTCAGCAAGATTCACAAGGTAAAGATGCATAAAACCATGCTTTGAAAAAAACAGAAAGAGGTAGATAATTTCATTTTTATATTGATGGTGGACATTATAATCTTAATGAGTCATCAGCATAGTCACTCTAGGATTGGATGGCTTAATTGTGCATTGCATAAACCCAAGTCTTTAATATTCCTTCTTTCCTTTCAAAAATTCTCAATAAACACATTGTTTTCAAGTGAGCATACATAATTTAAAATGTTTTATATAATCAAATTCAATAAATAGTGTAAGTATAAATACTCTTGCAGACAATTTTTTTTGAGTTTTAAAATTACCAAAACATACCAGAACTTTTAATATGTATTAATGTAACTGTAATATAAGTTTAAAATTTGAAACATAGTTTCTATTACACTAAAAACATACAAACATTAATACACAAATTCCTTTAAACTGGTAATCATCCATAGTTTTCTTGATCTAATAAGAGAGATTAAATGTCAACTAAGTACAATTACCATTAAATACAAAATAAACCTAGAAGGTATTTTTTTGGCATTAAAGGTCATTTTCAGAATACTTTATGAGCATGACAGGGACTACACATCTGATCGTATTTCTCAATACCTCTTGTCAAAGCATATATGCAGTAAGTGCTAAAATAAAAAATGAATATAACTGCAATATTTCCAAATATCTAATTATCTGGCCAGCATTTCAAATTCCTTTAAATATCAGAAAAGTTATTCATAGTCTAGAAATGAACATTTCTCCTTTTTTTGATTTCCTGATGATTTCCCAAGTGAAGATAAATCATACATGAAGGGGCAAAATTTATATTTCTCCATTGGAAAAAGAAGCTGCTACTGTTTTTAGATGTCTGTTGATCCCCAAAGTATATGTGGTGTGAGTTTTTGATTGCCATGCT